TATGGAACTTTACACAAAGTAGTTAATACATGTTGTCCAATGCAAAATGAATCAAAACAGTGAGAACATGACTGAAGAGCAACCTTTGATTGAGAACACGAGAGTTTGATCAAAATATTAAGACAATGAAGTATCAAATTAACTGAGACTATTTCTCTGATATGTAGTAATCGAAGAAGCTGTGAAATTGCTGGTTTTGTTAATGTAGAAAGAATAATTTTCAACATTTTACACTGAGACGTTTCATATGTAGTAAATTTTGCTGGAAGAGATTAGAGTAATATAGGCTCACGTTAAGGTTACATGAAAACACAGTTTGTACTGTGATTTATGAATTTGGTTGGCAACATTTCAGTTAGGCAGTACTGAAATGCAAGAGAGTGAGTGAAAAGCAAAATTCATAAACAGTATGTCTTGGGATAACCAATGTTTTATTTGTTATGTGGAAATATTTTGACCACGCAGAGTCGAATATTTTCAAGAACTCGTTTTTTTTTAAATATTATTCTTGTACAAGCCCAGTTCTGCAATAAAAAGGTAGACTGTGACACCAGAAGCGAGACGAACACCTCCATGAGAAATAGTTACTCTTGTCTGAACCGAGATTGTTACTGAACAAAGTAACTAAGGAGAAGGAAAAAATGGGAGACAATGAATTCTCATAGTCGTAGAAATCAAGTTGAAATCTGCACAGTGTTTGATCTGTATTGGTCACTTGTGTGGATACTCTCACTCCCTCATTTCTTTCCTAATGGCTATAGGCTCTGCTGTTCAATAATCAGGTGGAAGTGTAGGGAATGTGGTTGGGTGCAGAATAGTACAAACCTTCATGGCGTCTGTGACAACTTAAAAGGCAGCTGTTTGTCGAGCTTGAGATGTCGGTATCAGCTGCAGTCCACAGGTAGTAGGGATGTTGTTCTATATGCTGGATACACATGAGCACGTGTAACCTGTTGACACAGAGCTCGACCACAGGTTTAGTTTGAACTTTTTCTTCTTTCTTTTTATCTTAAAGAGCTTTCCAGGACTAAGTATTTTTCTAAAAGGGATGTTACAAGCTTTAAACCAACATTTTTGATCAAGTTTCTCTGATCAGCTGGAGTTCTTTTGATCCTGTATTTTCATTCCTGACTTTGCCTATTTAAGATCAAAATTTTAACCCTTCTTGTTAACTTTATTTTTAAAACAACCAGTGATATTTTCCAGTATTCTCAGATGTTGCATATTCCTACCCAAGGCGGTGAAACATTGAAGGAACTAGCAGTGAATATTTTCTTTTTGATTTTAGCATTAAAGTTTATGGCACTGTCTTCCAAGCCTGAGGTTGTCCTAAGTTTTTGCCATTAGAGCTGATTGATGAAGCTTCATTGTTCGACAATTAATTTAACATGTGAGCTCAGGAGGTAGCAGTTGTAGAGCTCGCTCATTGAACTCTGGAATGTCCTAAGACACCAATGACTAGCTCATTGTTGGTTCTCCAACCAAACAGAACTCTAGGAGCCAACAAAAGTGTGTTAAGATGGGTCTATGATGTCCAGAATGCCAGCTGCACAATCAGAAACAGATCCTATCGAACGTGGAGTAGCAGATGAAGCAAAAGAAGTATAAAAGAGCACATCAGAATGGAGAGGTGAAGAGCATCATTTAAGTATGCTTTGTAGAAATAACATTCATCATGGTATGTGTGTGGGCACTTCCAGTAGAATCATGCACCCTAGCAGGAGCTTCCTGCATCTTCATTCTGTTAAGTGAGAAGCCAGCTCTGACCATGCCACTCCTTCAGCCACTTCCACAACTACTACCGCCATACCAGAGGATATCTTCAGTGTGGAAGCCACTACTCTAGGAACACTGGTGACGGCCCTACTAGCTGTTGCAGAAGTTTCCAGAATTTGTATCAACATCCTCTACCCCTCCAGTAGTGTTTCGTACAGTGGCTCCTGTGGCAATGTTGGAGAGGGCAGCGCTTCTCATAAAGCCCCTGATTAAGATTAACCAACAGCTCAAGCTGCAGCAGATCATGGTGTTAAAGCACCAAAGATAAGATCAAACAGTCAGGTGATAAAGGCCTGGGCACAAAGAGCTGCCAACACAATTAGAGGAAGAAATGTGAACTCCAAGAGGATTTATCAAAAACTCAGAGGGCTCTTGCAAAACCTAGAGAGATCATTCTCCAGACCACCATGGTGAACCAAACTTCCATAGCTGCATTGGAGAACTTGCTGTCGTTGAAATGAATTGTACATTTTATTAAATTATTGTACGCATATATAGAATTAAAGTTTTAGATTTAAGGTTCATGAATGTTTGTCCAGTGTATGTGTATGTGTGTTTATGAGTGAATGAGTGAGTGTTTTCATCATGTTTAGCTTTAAGACTTTCATTTGATGTAGTGTGTATGTGCTTAAGTTAAGGTTTTTAATTAATGTATGATGTATTTCAATGTCAAAGGGCATTTAATGTCTTCTAAAGAATCGTGTATTGTTAGTTGAATTTTCTGTGTTCGAAGGATTTTATATATGTACTGCTTCATTTCGAATATGTAGTTTGTTAGATTATCATCTCATAAATAAAGGGATTTAGTTTTTAATGTGTATCATTGCTAAAGGGTTTCATTTCATGTTCATTATTAAAGGGTATTTTTCTGTATTTTTTTTTTTACTTACGAACATGTTCTGTTGGGCCACCTCCTCCTAGAGGGGTTGAGTAAACATAATAACACATCTTGTTTTGTAGTGTATAGTCTTGTTATTGCTATGTTTAGTTAAGTATTGCTGGTGCTTTTGTGATGGAGTTATTTCAACTTTTTCATTGCTAAGTGACTAAAGTTTAATCTGGAATTTTTATAATTATAGAGTTAGGGATGACCAGGTGGGTCTGAAAAGATAGGTAGGGGAGACTGTTGTATGGGGGCATACTACGTTTTCCATCCCTTTAACTTTAAGGTACATATTTTTAAATTATGTTGTTTTTCGTAGTTCCTATTTTTGGATAAAGTCAGATGCTCTAGGTAGCAAATGGAGTTTGTGTCAATAGTAGATTGTTTGATTTTTCTCACAGGAATAATTTAATTAAGAAGGTACGTTATTTTTGTGGACGAGTCGGATAAGAGCTGTGAGTGGTTACAATATTAGTCTGCACACCTCCCACTAGTTGATTGAAGTAACTATTGCAAATCGTAAAAGTTTATTGGCATATTTAAGTTCATGCTTTGGTTAGAGAGCTCAGATTTTGTGTATAAATTACAAAAAAAATTGTGTGTTTTCAGTGTTCTTGTAATTCATTTAACAAAGAACAGAAGGTTTCTGCTGAATATTTTTTGTTTTAACTGTCACATGTATATTTCATGGGTTCCTAAAATATAACTATTCAGCAAAGCATCAGTATAGGTCTCTTCTGACTTTCTTCTGTTTCCTTTATTTTGAGGTTGCAATTTCTTGCAGAGTTTAATCTAGATGGATGTTCACTTTAAGGCAATGTATTAATGAACTGTACTTATCTTGTTTTTAGTTTGGATTCTCGCAAATTCCAGAGTTTGGCACTTTAAATAACGCCTATTTGCAGCAAAATCCAAGCGTCACTTATATTTTACATTCTTTGCTTTTATAGGGATTTCTTTTAAATTGTAGGAGTTGTTATTCGTTTTTCTTTTGTTTTACTTTAGCTTACAGAGGAGTGCATTGGAACTGGGAGTTTTTAATAAAGATTTATTCACATCTCCGTAATAAAGTTCCACCCACACTCATAGATCACTTGCTCTAGTGTATTGTTTTGTATTCGTAAAGTATGAACTATTATTAAATATTGTTTTATGTTTGGACCACTGTGTCTCGTCTCCTTCCTCTCGCCATCAATCGAAACACAAGGCGAGTCTCCTTTTGTTAGCGGGCCTAACTCTCTCCCCTGCGGTTAATCCGTGAGATTGCACACACGTGTTTTTCTTTTCTTGATTCAGGTGGTACACTAATCGATAACATGTTAATTAAGTTGTACAGTCAAATCGGGTGTATAGAATTTGACGATACAGATACGTAACTCCTCAAATTCTTCGTATTAAATAGTAAAGATCAGTGTCACCAAAGTTGTTTTAACAAATGATTTGCTTTCATCGTGAAAAATGAATTTTTCGAACCCATTTTTAAAACAGGAATTCCTTAAGATTCTTGTAAATGTATCCTTATTGTAGTTACAGTAAACTTATAGAACTTGTGCAAATTTATTTTCTACATTAAGATTATTGTTTTGTTTTTCTTTTTAACTTAATATTCCATTTGATCTTACTTTTAATTAATGGTTCTAACTATTTAGAAAGTTCAGGCCTTGCCGACAGGCAAATGTTTAAGGTATATCATTGCAAGCTGCTGTAATGTAGAGTAAGATAAAATGAATAAAACCAAGTTGAATAACAGGTTGTTGTTGGTTTAGCGCAAAGCCACACAATGGGCTATATGCGCCCTGTCTGCCGCGGCTAATCGAACACCGGATTTTCGTGTTGTAAGTCCGTAATCTGACCACTCACTCACCTGGGGGACAAGTTGAATAATATAGCAATTACAAAAGATATAAATCGTTTAACACGAATTAGAGGTGCAGTGCTCGAAATACTATCTATTTAGTCTACCCATTCGTTATGAAAAATATAACGCAAAACATGCTACAAATTTATGTTTGAAAAATATTTACATATATACTAAGAAAGAAGGTAATACCAAGGAACGCGTTCTCGGTTTCTAGGCAACGGTGACGTCATCCTTTCTGTGCTCACTTTTGTAGCCCCGCAAGTTTATTAGCAAGTAGGCCTATTCGTTGACTGGGTTGCTCTCTCCATAGCGAAAACTACGGTGTTTGGTAAATAATTTTTATATATTTTTATGGCATGATTAAGCAAATGTATTAAAAATTAAGTATTGAATATATAAGTATTATTCCTCTTTAGATGCGAGGTTCGTCATTGGATTAGGTTACGCGAAAACTTCAACTTTCAAGGTTGTGGACGTGTTTCATAAGCTTCAAATTCGCCATTTTGATTTGAAACGTTTCATTCTAATCTTGAGTCTAGACATCGTGCAGGATAGTACTAGTAGTAGTACTACGTTAGTACTATTTAGAACGTCGTGCCATAACTTGCTAAGCTCCAGGACGTAAGGTAAATTATTAGGCTAGTCAGTACTCTATTGAAGTAGGTGTTAGCTTTAACAGAATGAAATAAGATATTTCAAATATATATATTTTATTGCAGTTTCTTAAAACTTCACTATGGATAAAGACGAGCTTGTTCAACGAGCCAAACTTGCCGAACAGGCGGAAAGGTACGATGATATGGCAGCGGCAATGAAACAGGTCACAGAAACGGGCGTGGAACTAAGCAATGAAGAGAGGAATTTGCTTTCTGTTGCCTACAAAAATGTCGTAGGGGCAAGACGGAGTTCTTGGAGAGTAATTTCAAGTATAGAACAAAAGACAGAAGGAAGTGAAAAAAAGCAACAGATGGCCAAAGAGTATCGTGAAAAAGTCGAAAAAGAATTAAGAGAAATTTGTTATGACGTTTTGGTAAGCACAGCAGTTAACATGTTGCAGATAAAATTGAACCTGAAGCTAATAGTAATACTAATAGCGCCAAGAGATATTAAGTTTAATGAGTTAAGACAAAGTTAGGACTAGTTTAAAAACAGTATAAGACAATTTTAAATAGTGCAACGTTTAAGGGGTGTCAGTTAACACCTGTCAGGGTCATGCTAGGTGAATCTAAATACTTAAGTTATACAATGAATAGTTGCTACTGACGTATTTCTGAATGACAAGTAGTTAAAATATTCTCAAGCTGAAGAGCGTCCTGTTGTTGTTTAGGAACCCTCATCCATAAACTGATGATAAAGAGAAAAATGGGATTTATTAATAGTAATTTAATGGTAACAAACTGGTAATTTTATAAATGGCTTCTCATAATTGACTAGTCATGACCTAATGTGAACTTGAGGATGCATGGTTTGTGTCTTGCCTCAAAACTTGCACATCTTATGAGTGCCGGTCCAATTCCAGTATTTGATTAGGTTAGTCCCTGTGTGGGCAGCCCATTGGCCACATGTGACCATTTTGCAAAAAGGTGTGGCCAACTTGTAGAATCATCGATAGTGTGTTTTTTTTTTAGCTGGTTAGAGAGAGAGAATGCCAAATCTCATTGAAAGTTCACACTTTTGTAATTTTGAAAACAGTATTTTTTGTACTTTTGCATTGTGTTTATAATTGACCTTGACTGTCATTAGAATCCTGAAATATATTTATTTAGCAAAAATTTTCTGTTTTATTAATAGTGTGGCCATTTCTGTGATCAACTGGCCACATGCATGGCCAGGAAAAAATTTGGTTGCCCACTCGTGGCTAAAGGTTGACAGTGAGTACTGTTGATTAGTTGCCTTCCCTTATAGTCTGTCTGTTCAAAGTTAGGGATTGCCAGTGTTGCTTTGCACGATTCTGAAAATTCATTTCTGCTAACAGCAGAAGTATAGTGTTAGACTTGAAATGTCTTGGATCTTACCCTGACATTTTCAAAAAAAATATGGATCATGTTACTATTTCCACAGTCTTAAAAAGTTTTTATCAGTCAGAAGTAAAACCCCTCACCATCTACTTCTTTGGTGTCTTCAAAGTTTTGGGAAACAATTTTCAGGCCTAACAATTCACATAATTGTTTTCATAAACAGTTTTTTTTTTGTTAAGCAGTAATAAAAAATCTACTGCTAATCCCCACCTTTAAACAGTTGGATCATATTATCTTTTCTCCTTCATGACTACAAAAATTTACCTTTTAAATCTTCCATATTAACATTTCCAAAATAATGTGATGGAAACCTGGTATCTTTCTTATCACTAGCCCTAACAAGGAAGTCAAATATGACATTAGACTAAGACATATTTTTACTTGTTTTGGTAAAAGTCTTCGTGTGTTAGCCTAGCATGAGTATGTGTAAATTTTAGCCAATTCAGTCAGATTTATAGGAACTTTTTTAAGTACCATAGATTGTAAAAGATGCTTTGCAAAGTTAGTTAACAAATTTTAAAATTTTGTTGAATAGTCAACATGGTTTGAGTAGGAGAAAACCTTGTTTTACTAATCTTTTAATATACTAATGAGAGATGCTATTAAACAACTTTATTGTGGTTTATAGTTAATTTTTTAATTCCATAGAATTGGCCCATTTGTACAAAAATTTAGTGACCTGCAAGCAGTTATACATGAATAAATATTACAAGTATGCTTAGTAGATTTTTAGGCCTAGCGTGTGCTGGATTTAAAGGCTGCAAAGCTCAAATAGTTTGTTTTTGTTTACATAAGAAATTTTATAATTATAGTAAAAATGTAATTATTATAGCTGGCTTATTGATATAGCAAGTGATATTAAAGTTATATTTTTACTTGGTATATGAAGTTTTTAAGCAATTTTATGATAGTAAAAATCTGGCCAAGTATTTTTTTGATCCTGCTGAGCATTGTGTCCGTTACTGGTTTAAATGTATTTTAGCAGACAAAAAATCACGTCTTTATATTTCACGGCCATTTTGTAGGGTGGCATTGATATATAGCATATGAAATAAGCTTTCAGTGACCTTCGTAAAAACTGGATATCCGTTATATGTAACATCATCACAAGTAGTTTGTGTAGGATTAGAAGATTCGGTATTTCACCTTTATAGTAACATCAGTATTTATGGATAAAAGTCTCAACTTTAAGATTTACATCCTTTTTGTCTCATAATGTTTGTTTGCTTGAGTCATGCAAATACTATCGTTTTCCAAAATAGTTCCATTTCATTATTAGTCTAAGTTAATGCTTGTTAAGCTGAAGCATAAACTTGAAGGTTAACATCATATGTCTAAATTTCATCAAATTAGTCTGTTACTCTTAGGTTTCTGCAATAGTTAATATGGTTAATAGTAAGAACTATTAATTTCTTTTAAAATTAAAATCAAATGTTAGAAAGATGAAATTCCTCGGGAATGTAATATTTTGATCCCTTACACTGATGTAGATAAAACGTATAATAGTCTTAATAAGATTATCCATGTCATTTATAATCATATATGACCACCATTTTACTTATTTCAACATAAAATTTTAATCTGGACATATTTTCATACATTAAACAGTTAATATGAGTGGAACCTATTTAACTAATTAAGATCAAAAAATAACGTTGATATGAGTTTGTTATACAAAGCTGAAAAAACATTAGCCAATAAAATTATTCAAATTAACAAAAGTGAAAAAACATTTAATAACAATGCTTTGTATAACTTACTTTTAACCTAATCTTTTATCCCTCGAATCAAGAAATATGTATAATCTTTCTTTAATACAACTTAAATACAGGTCTTCCACATGTATATGCCTAGCCAACAAAATGTTTAAATAAGTAAAATGGCACACACACACAATACAAGGCAACTCATTTTATAAATTTATAACTTTACCAGAAAAAAAAGAAATTACAACTAATACCCCTAATATTTAAGTTTGATCTCCAATCTTTTCACCCTGCTGAATGGACAACTTACAGAAAATTAAATCTATTACCCCTAATAATCAAGTTTGTATTTCTAACTTTTTCATTTTTCTAAACCAACAACTCACAGGAAGAAGTCTAAAGTCATAACTCTTCTTAATACCTGACTCAATTATCCTTATCTTCTCAAAATTAAACCTCACTTTATAGATTTTCTTAAATCTGGAATTACTAAGTTGCTTAAGTTTTTTATTTAATCTATGCAATATATTTACTTTCATTGGTCGTAAGTGAAGAATACAGATTTACCATATATTCCCGATCGGGAAAGCCAACCCTTCTTGCATTTCCTTATACATACTGGGAATCTATTGTCAGAATCAATTTCTTTTCTGTATTCAGTTAAGGTCTACAATAGGTAAAAATACAAATTTAGGTGTTTCATGTTTTTTGCAATAGACTAACAATTAACTGTTAGCTACAGAAACTCTGAGAAGGATTTATTGTAAGGTAAGTAAACCCACTGTTTAGTGAATTTATTTGCATATGGTTCAATTTTGAATGTAACCTTTTTCTTCTTGAAGTAAAACTTTTGACACTATTTAAAAGGGAAGCCATTGTACTGTAATCTTGAGACAGAATTATCCTTGTGAGAAATTGATCACATCAAAGAAGCCCTTTCACTGGTGAAGGAATGATTAATAAATTGCTTAAGTTTGCTGATATTAAAGTCTTTATTGCTTGATATGAGGGGGTTACTACTGTTTAACAAAAGTAATTTATATTATTTGGTGAGTTGAGTGGATAAATAAGATAGCTTTTTTAGTGTAATTGTGATGGGAATAACTTTAACGGTATTGTGGAAGAACAGGACCTTGGTGTTCTGGTTGATTAGTCTATGTCATGTGAGCAGTGTGCTATGGCTAGTGGTGGGGATTTTAGGTTGTACTTATAGAAATATTGAATATTAGTTTTAAAAAGATGTACAGTTCCATTGTATAGGTCACAGGTTAGGCCACATTTGGGCTCCTTACCTAAAGAAGGATGTTGAATTGCTTGAAATGGTTCACAGGAGGGGTGTTTGGTTTTGTTAGAGGAATTGATATTGTCACTGTTTCATGTTTTCTTGTACTTAATGGTAGGAATAGGGCAACACATAAATTTTGTCAGGGTAGGAATAATTTTTGGGAAGACAGTTTTATTTTTCTAATGGGCTGTTTGAAGTCAGATTCAGATGTGGTGGATGCAGAAACTTAAGGGAGTTTAAAGGAAGACTGATAAAAAAAATTGTTTATAAATCTTTACTGTAGTTTTATGGTAATAAACGTTTTTGATATTAAAATAGATTTAGTATGTAAAATCTGAAGTTTGTAGGTGATGCAAAGTACCCCAAATTCTCTGACTACAAATATACAAAATAGTAATGGGAAGATTATTTTAGGCTTAGATCTCTGTTTAGAATGTTCATCAAAGTATAAAATATGATATGTTTCTCATGCATAGAATACGTTTAATTCTTTGACAATTTTTTAAATAACAAGTTTTGTGACTCATGACTTGCATTATTTGTCACAGACTTTCAATAAATCAATGTAAAGATTAAAGAATTATTCAATAAAAGCCATAAATGATAGCAATCTAACACAAAAGAAAAAAAATATGTTAATTTTTTTAGTTTTCTTTTCACGGTCTGATCACCATGATAAGTGATGTTACAAAAAACTGAATTAGCCAATAATATCCTATTCACAATCATGATATAATAGTAGAACCTTGTTTCTTTTCAGAAGGATTTCATTTAATAGGTTAGTTTGTAAGGAGTTCCAAGCATAAGTGAAAAAGGTTTAAACAAGGGTGTTTAAGAAATACATTGGTAGTAAGTAGACATTTTTCTTGTATAGATGAATCTATTTTTATGGCAACAGAAACTGTAAATATTTCCGTTTACTTGTTTAAAAAAAAACGGGGAATAGTAATGAATAATTCTAGAATATACCGGTAACAGGAATTTTGTTCTGCATATCACTGTATTTAAACCTGATGGTCATACTTATGAAGAATATCATTCTTCTGGACGAACTACGACAACAATTAAATGAGGTTTTCCCTGGTGTGTGGAAGTAGCTTTCTTAATGTTTGACACACTGATAGATCGACTATAGTAAGTCTTTTGGTATTCCTGGACTGATGATATTAGATAAAGTACTTGGAAACATAGATTCAGTAGATTTAACTTCGAACATACTGATCACTTGATTAATTTTTTTCATTGGTTTGATATTTGAACCTTTAGGAAGGTTAACGAATCATGACATTGTCCTCTTCTTCTCATCTACAAGATAAATATGCTCGTTAAAGCATATATTTAAACTTTTCATTTTATTTTAAGTATGACATAGTTACTATAGGTAAGCATTGATGGGGATAAAATTATTTTTTGAAGAGTAGTCCCTGTATACTTTCCATTCATAAGTGAATTTATCTAATCATGAAATTTCCTTTCAGGGTCTACTAGACAAGTACTTGATTCCAAAAGCAAGTAATGCAGAAAGTAAGGTATTTTACTTGAAAATGAAGGGTGATTACTATAGGTATCTTGCAGAAGTTGCAACAGGTGATCAGAAAAACAGTAAGTCTTCAACATTATTTTGTTATGTACCTTTTTGTTTCTCTTTACTTAACGACAAGTATAGTTTATTATGTAATACTTGTTTTACTAAATGTCTGTAGAGCTTATAAATATATATATAGTCTTCTTACATTTGGAACTCCATGTAGACATAAAGTTGGCACTATGTAGAAAAATGTTACCTTACTCGGTGTATTTCTGAGCTTAACCCTTTGAGTGTGTAATTAGATTTTGGGTAGGTGCTCAAAAAAAGTGTCTTTTATCTGCTAAACAATGAAATTTAGAATTTGACCTTTTTTAGTATATTTTCCAAAAAAAACTCAGGAATGCTAACAATTTAGATATTTAAATTTTGGAAGTAATTTCAACACATCTTTTTTTTTTTAAAGTAAAACTGCTTAAACACCACACTGAAATACAACCGCAACAGAACTGAATGTTACTACAGGACTAAATTTTTTTTTTAAATTTATAACTATAAACAAATATCTTGTGTTAGCTGTGTCTCTTTTCCCTCAGAGTGTGACAATCAGGATACTCACACATTTTTGAATTTTCCACCTTGGTACTGTGTGCGTGTATACATCGCCGAGCAAAAGCACAAGTGGATTTTGATATTTTTGTTTTTTAAATCAGGTGTTGTAGATGAGTCACAGAAAGCTTACCAGGAAGCATTTGACATCAGTAAAACCAAAATGCAGCCCACACATCCAATACGACTGGGTCTGGCATTGAATTTCTCTGTTTTCTATTATGAGATACTAAATTCTCCAGACAAGGCCTGTCAATTAGCCAAACAGGTAAAACATGCACAATTGACAATATATTACTGAATTTGGATTTTAAAAGTAATATTTGAGAACTTTGAGGTCAAGGAAGAGTAATTCAAAGTGTATATTTTGTTCTGTCCGAGGTTAACAAAGTATATCTTGAAAATGATATGTTTTAGTTTTCTTAAAACTAGAAGTCTAACTCGTACTGGTATTCTTGATAATACAAAATATCCATCGTAAGTAATTTTCAGTAACTAAGACAGTCCTTCCCAGACTATGTGCCTCAGAACTTTTGCAATTAAATAATTTTTATTTAGTAATGATGATTTATTACCAATTTTTAAATTTCAAATTTGATTTATTTTCTCCTTGATACACAGTATAACAGTAATTTCCGAATGTCATAGTCAGGAGGGTGCCACTAGGCCTGCCATGTGCCGCAAAAAAGTTTGGGACATTAAAAGTGTACCACGAGCTGAAGAAGTTTGGAAAGCACTGACCCAAGACATTTGATTTAAAGATAATTTAATACTTCAACTATGAATACTGAAAAGGGATTTTATAAATATTGACTTCATTACATAATTAACCGTAGGTAATAGTTTTACAGTAAAGGAACAAATGTATTCTATTTGTAACTTAATTATTGTTTCCATAGTTTTAATGTTATAAATTGTTACTTTCACATGAGATTAACTTTACCATATCTATTTTGTAGTGATGAACTTAGTCAATAATAAGTATTATGTCTACATTACAGGGAAATTAGGACTGTTTTCGTTTCCCTTATTGAATACAGATTTAACCTTTCTATTGAGTTTAATTTCATTTTCGTCTTCCATTGTTTCCAGGCATTTGATGATGCCATTGCAGAATTAGACACTTTGAATGAAGACTCTTATAAAGATAGCACACTTATAATGCAACTCCTTAGAGATAACCTCACGGTAAGTAAGAACCAAGAATTCCATACTTTCATTTAACAGTCTATTTCTGTTGTGTTCATCACGCTTTCCATTAGTTCGTTGTTAAATGTTCTACACCAGGCTGCTTTATACTCGCAAGAAAAAATTACATAACCCAGTATAACCTCAAGAAATAGAATTTCCAATCCACAAAAATCTAGAAGCAAAGCTGGGGTCTTGGAATGTTTCAATCTTACAGGGTTTTCCAATGTCATCTAGTTATTGGTCACTTCAGTCATAATTTAATCATGCATTTTGCAGGTTTTATTGAAGACCTAAGACTCGTTTAAGTGGGTCATTTTAGTAAAAACTTACTTTGAAAGTTTAAAAAAAACAGATTGATTATCTAAATTTTATTTGGGTTTATTTTAAACATTTTTTTTCTTCAAGACTCAATTTCCATTTCGTAAAATCCAAGTTGATCGTATCATGCATCTAAATTAGTAATATCTTGATATGATGGAAAATTAATTTGAATTACTAACAAATTAACTGATTACAAACATACCAGAAATGTGATAAAAGGGTGTAGGGTAATAAGTATGAAAAAGTTCACATCTTATAAACTGGAAATATTTGTAGAGGTGGCCTTGATCTTGCTGTGGCCTATTGAAATCTACCATAAAGCAATATTTATATTCAACAACAAACATATAAAAGTATACTTCTATTACATGCATGATATACTAAGAAAAGAAAGAAACATTTTACTGCAATGCTGTACGAAAGTCTGTGTAATTGCACCGCTGTGATTACACTGTACACTCAGACCCTTTCACTAATCTTGTGTGTGTCCCGAAAGTAAGTAATTACTCAGTACTTAAGAAACCCTGAAAAACAAAACAAAACTGGAAATAGATTAGATGACATCAACATTGCACCAAGAAACATTCATCAATGCATCTTGTGACAAATAAATCAACATTTTGCACTGTTAAAGATCCAAAGATGTTATATACCACCCATCACATGCTGTCTGAATCGGACTTGTACATACATTTCTGAGTCAAAGTGGCTTTAAGACCAGGTACGTTGGAGTTTTTATGTGCAGTACTGTAGGACTTGTGGCTTGGTATCGTGTTGTGTGGTAACAGAATAAACACTCTCGTTATTACACAAGTTAGCAGAAAGAACAATTCTACCTCTGCACATGCAGTCTTCTGTGTAGTAGACCTTAGTGGGACAGTCAGAAGTCACTTATGATGTAGTACTACTACCTATGTACAAGTATAATGAGTCAACAGAATTTTTATTCATAACTTTAGAGAGCCAATAAATCTTTCTAAAAATATAGGTTCATAAGTTATGTAATATTGAGAAGTGTAACCTGTAACATTTTTTTTTCTTTCTTTCTAATGTTCTAAAACCAGTTAGATCTTGGTGTTGTTAAAGGTACCTGGAATTTTGCCAAGGGCTGTTCTACTTTTTACAGGATTCCTGTTAATAATGTCATGTTGGGGTAGATTCTGATAGAACGTGTGTGTGTGCGTGCGTGCTGTACAATGGTTAATTTCTAGCTCTGTTGTTTAATAGATTTTGAACAAATGTTAGTGAATCAGGTTGGGATTTTGTTTTTTGTTAGTTATTGTGATTTTTATGGAAGCTTCACATTTTAAATTTCATATTTTTTGATATACTAATAAATTGGTTTATAATAACTAGTTTCCAATACAAGGGGCGGGGTGGTGTTGAAACATCTTTATGGAATCCCATTGTTAGGTGTAACAATGATGCAGAACAAGCTATCAATAGAT